GAGCTCATCTTCCAGCATCATATCAGACGATATTCTGTTGTGATCCATAGGGTTTTCTTTGGCTGATATTTGGAAGTTGATCACCAGGCCTGTCTTCCTAGTTCATCTTATTCTGGAAGCTCCGCTGAAACCTGTCCCCATGGATGACACTGCTGCTGGTATTTGAAATACCAGCGACATAGGTTCCTAGCAACATGAAAGACACCTCAGTATAACAAACGGAGATCAGAGAGGTTAAATGAGTAGCTTATGGTAACGCTAGCAGCTACCAGTGGGCAGAGGCAGGCCACAAACCCTGGTGTTCTGAATTCAGATCAGCGGCACAGAATCTCATACACTGCTGTGTTCCCCATTGGGCTGGTAAGAGGAAAACAAAACCACCTCCTCCTTCAGAACCTTGTTCTAAATTTAAAGCCAAAAAGACTGCTTTATCTAACTAAATTCTATTGATGCAGTTGAAGCTCTTGTCTTCTTTTGGAGTTCTTTACAGAGGAAGAACAAATATGAGCAGCCACCTCCTCAGAATAGTTCTTAATTTGCCTGTGAAATCCCTCCGTATCCTTCTTTTCTTCAGGGGGGAACAAATTAACTCCCCTAATTTTTCCTTATAATTCTGGTTTCTGTGCATTTCCCCATCTTCCTACCTACTACATATGTCTCCTTTTTTTTTCATAATTTAGGGGCAAAATTGGAATAGTCTACACTTTGGAATAGTCTACACTGCTTAACCTAGACATTGTTGTTAGTTGCTGTTGAGTCAGCTTCGACTCGTGGCCACCTTACATATAATAGAACAAAATGGTGCCCAGTCCTGCACCATCTTCATGATTGTTGGCATGTCTGAGTCCATTACTGTGGTCATTGTGTAGTGTCTTCCAGGCTATGCGGCTGATCTTCCAGCATCATATTAGACAAAATTCTGTTGTGATCCGTAAGGTTTTCTTTCATTGGCTGATTTTTGGAGGTAGAATTCCAGGCCTTTCTTCCTAGTCTGTCTTAGTCTGGAAGCTCTGCTGAAATTTGTCCACCATGGGTGAAGCTGCTGGTGTTTGAAATCCTGGTGGCATAACTTGCAGCATCACAGCAAAACACAGGCTACCACAGTACAACAATCTGACATATGGGTGGTGAAGCCTAGAAGTTAGCCCTCCTAAAACCTACCCACTCCTCCCATCTTCCAATCTAAGTTCTTACTCCCTGCCCAACTTGTTCACTTCTCCGGCAGACTGCATCTGTCTTCTCATGGCACACACCTTTGTGCCCCCTAGAGTCTGCCTGGTATTTCTACAAGCTTTCCATAATACTGGAGTGGACCTTGACCTGCGCGTCTCAGACCCATGCCCTTTACAGAGTAGAGTGACAATATGTGCCTCACTCAGAGAAGGAAGGAGGCTTCCAGGTTCTCCTGTGCATTTCTAAATACAGTATCAAAATTTACATGTGCAATTTGTTTTACATCATCCATGAGCACTTTCGTGAACATAAAAATCCAAATTGCAGTAAGAAAGTGAATAGGCAATTCTATTACGAGTCTTTTTATAAAGCAACTGTTCTTTATAAGGTAAGCTTCATTAAGGATTTATTTAGTCTATCACTTCTTTTTTAAGAAAAGCAGCTTGCAGGAAGCTTAAAGTTAGCCCCAACGCCCCACTCCCACCAATGCTAAACCAGTCATTTTTTCTTATTGTGTAGATATGAGTTTTTCTTCTGAAATCCTGCTTTAGCTGTTTCCTCTTCAAAAGCCTATTTTAGATAGATCTTTTCTGTATCGTACTGAGATCATTTAAAATATGGTTTCTTTTTTCAGGGGTGTTAGTAGTGTTTTCTCTTGCCCAGCACAATCTACAGCTTTCGTATCTGCTGAAAGGCCGCTGGGAAACTGTGTTCCTCCAGAGACAGGCGGGAAGGAAAGCTGGGATTGCCAACCAATAGCGCTGAGTGAAGTGTGTTGTCTCTATCTTACTGGCCATATGCAAGGTGAAGTTAAAGAGCATAGGAAAGGAAGCAGGAACGCTGACTTTTTCTTTCTTTAATCAATAAATACAAGTGTAACTTAGCTCTCAAAGTTGGGTGGCCTAGCCAACTTCTGGATTCTAGGAAGGACATTCATGTCACACAGTGGAACCACCAGTATTTTAAATACTAGCAGGGTCACCCATGGTGAACAGATTTCAGCAAAGCTTCCAGACTAAGACAGACTAGGAAGAAAGGCCTGGTGATCTACTGCTGAAAATTAGTCAGTGAAAACCCATGGATCACAGGAGAACATCGTTCAGTATAGTGCTGGAAGATGAGCCCCCTAGGCTGGAAGGCACTCAAAATAAAGTGGCCACAACAATGGTCTCAAGCATACTCATGATCATAAAGATGGCACAGGACCGGACAACGTTTCCTTCTGTTGTACGTAGGGTCTCCATGAGTTGGAGCTGACTTGAGAGCAACTAACAACAATCTAATCAAGAAGGCAGAAAGAAATGCAGAAAAGATTACGGTTGAGAATGGGATTATAACTGCAACTACTCACTTGGTGATTTTTAGAAAATTATTAATTGCCAAAATTGGCAGAAGACAAGGCAGCATGTTACACTAGACTAATAACCATAGAAGAAACATGAAAGATAGTTGAAGATCCTACTTCCCTTCCTACCCTTACCCCCAAAAGTGCCAGTATAAGATGGCTTTGTAGGTAACATCTATCAAATTTTGAAGGAATAGAAAATTATTTTGCTACTTAAACTTCTCTAGGACATAGGAAAATATGAAACATTTCTCAACTCATTTGTGGAATAACACATTCTAACATTTGATGATGCTATTGAACAAAATAAAAACAATAGGAACATCTTATTAATGAACATGGGTGAAAAATCCAAAACAGAGTAATGATAAATCAAGTCTAGGACTTTATTTAAAGAATAAAATACCATCATCAAGTGGAGTTTACTCCAGGAATAAAAATGAATCCAATATAAGGATATTTATAAATATGATTCTTCTTATCAATGGCTCAAAGGACAAAATGCATTCAGTCATTGCAATAAATTTGAAAAAGACACAATCTGATATTTACTTGAGCAACATCTTCTTCCGTATAAAATTTAGAATTAGGAA